ATATCTCTCTCAATAACAGCTCCCATCTCGGCTTTGTTTGCGGGAATTTTTCGAGCCCGGGTTTGATCCTCGATGTGATCATCCTCTGAGGAACCCAAGACGCTAATAACTCAATGATTCCAAGCCGCGTCGTCCGGGATTTCCACCTCTGGGTGCTGAGGCTCCAAGGGTCATTATGGCCCTAGTTTCCCACGGCTCCGACGAAGCCCCAGTAATCGAGAATCGTGGCGAGTATATCTGGGTCCCCCCGGTAATTATAACTTTAAATCGAGCATGAAAATGACGGGGCAAGAGAGAGGCAAGAGGAGGTACGTGGTAAGGGTCAAGGACACCAGTATTGATGGCATGATAATCGATCTTGGAGGTGTAACGTGTCAGCTTCGTGCTCCTCCAACCCTGAGAACAAGAACGATCTCGCTCACGTCACTTGCTATCTCCATCTTGCTCAATATATATATATATATATATATATATATATATATATATATATATATATATATATATATATATATATATATATATATATATATATACATAGAGAGAGAGAGAGAGAGAGAGAGAGAGAGCAATTAGTTGAACTTCTATCGTTGCTTTAGGTAAGCCGGTTACCTGTACCTGACACACAATACTACCACAATAAACTTTCCAGTTGACTTTCATGAACGTACAGCCTGTGTGTCCCTCCCTCAGAAGGTGTGTAGACCCTCCACACCTACTGTCAGCTCTGACTCACTTCGGCACACCTACTGTACACTATATTTTATACCTTACTTTATTTGTACAGTTAAAAACTCACAAAGGTTAACTATTTTCATCATCATCGTCATCATAATCATCATCATCATCGTCATCATAATCATCATCATCATCATCATCGTCGTCATCATCATCATCGTCATCACCATCATCACCATCATCGTCAACATCATCATCATCATTCTTTATTTATTTACATTAACTTCTCGTATCTTAAACCATTTATATCCATTGTGTACCTCTAAACTGTCTTCACTCTATATGCCTTCAGTAACAAGTCTTTTCCCGGGTGTTTTCTTATCTGGTGGGATCTACTGAACAACGTCCATATAACATTTCTCAGACAACATTAACACTGAGTCAGGCAGGTGAGCTCTAGGATCCACGATACATGTTACTAATATCAAGTTTTGTAAGGAGTAAACTATCACCTTCACACACCGACACACCCATCATCTACCGCACCTTAAAAGCCCCAGTCAGGTGTGTGATTTGTATTTAACACAACAGTTAAAGTATAGTAATAAAAGGAAGATACTCGTACTTAAAAAAGGTATATATTTTATCTGTGAACACTTTTGAACATAATTTATGAATCGATACCTTTTATCTCCCTATCGGGTATTTTAAAAGGTTGAGTATAGTGTACCTACGACATGGACATTAATTCCAGGTCGTGTTAAGAAGATTTTCCCTTTACAGACACACACACACACACACACACCGACGATATAAGCTTTTCAAGTAGCGTAATATTTGTGTAAGTGATAGCCAGAATAAACCATGAACCTAAATTCATATTAATTATACTAATCATAACCTTCTTACCAAATTGCTACTGAATTCTGTGGCAGTCCAGCAAGGATGAACTGAGACGTGTACACAGTAGCACTCGCCTTTAATACCATTTTAAACACAGTCATTTAGTCTATCTCCAGTTTTCATGACTCCATTTTCTTGATAAAACATTTCCACTGCTAGTAATAACTTCATCAACCAAGAGAGTAATAAGAGCTACTAGATGGTAAAGTTATATAAGTTGCCAGGTCGCGATTCTCAAAGGTTTATTTAATGAGTTTTCCTATTGACTGAAAATATTAGACCACTTGATTGTTTTACTTAAGCTAAATCCTAAAGGTAACGTCGATTTAACACCCAAGTAAGGTAGATAATTGCTTTTCAGTATTCTTTTGGTTTAATTTGATTTCTAACTGGTAACTTAATGGACGTCATTGTAGCGTTTTGTTTAATTTTAGTTTAAGTCAACGAGTTAAATGGAGTCTTACATCTTTAGTAAAGTTGAACTCAAAGATAAACCATTACCAAACTCACTAAAACACAATCGCACAAACCATATCACCTACAAAACCAAACACACATACACACATGCAAAGTCGGGACAGAATTTACGAGAAAACAGAATCAGTAAAATGTTGATAGTCGTAAATTTGTTAAGTGAAAAAATAGGTTTCTCAATCTTAAGCATTTTCTTTATCCAATTAAGGTGAGGTTATGTAATGTTTAATTAGGTGTATAGTGTAATTAAGCGTGTGTCTTGGGTATTGGGTGAGACAGGTAGCGTTTTATTAGGTTTTAGACGATCACAACCTCACCTGATCATAGTTAATGAGCTGTGAAAAAAATCACTTTTATTTTGGATAACGAAACTATGGAAATTGGAACTTAATGTGAGATTATTATGTGGGTTTAGTGTCCTGAGATCTATTTTTGTATGACTGTATACTACTCAAACCTAACCTAACCTAACCTAACCAAAAACAACCCCTACGATTCCTATATCAAGTCTGTTCAGGTTGTTTGCATCATGTCTCATTGATTCGTGTTGTATATAGCCGTAATAAATGATTAACCGCCGCAGACCCCTACAATTCTAAGATGGCATAGATTTCAAGATTTATTTTCACTTTTTTTTTTTTTGATGAGTTCCTCCGGCAGATTTATTTAATACATACTAACACAAACACCTTGGTCAATATCCCACCAAGAGATAACGAGAGAGATTACATAACAAACACACACTCTTACTCGTCAGCTTCAGTCAATCAATATAATTGGTTTATTTATGTTCGAGTGTAAGAACTTCCTATTGAGAATTGTATTTTATATTTCTTACCTCAAATATTCCCCTGTGTTAGTGTATCTGGTATCTTATGATAACTTATGGTAACTTATGATAACTTATGATAACTTATGATAACTTATGGTAACTTTTATAATACAATATAAATTTAACTTCGTAGGAAAATGATACTGATTAACAAACATTATCTCTCTGTCCAACGAGAAACTGATATCACAGCAAATATGACATAGTTGCATTGTATATTTACGAGTGATATACACACAGTGATAATTAACATGAAGAGATGAAAGTGATAAGCAGCAATAAGGTTTCAGATCTCCCAGTAATATTACCAGAGGTGACATTAAACTCAAAACTGGTACTCAAGGTGGGTAGTGTGGGTAAGCAGTGTGAGGCGGTCTTTCATCTGCCAGGTCACCAACACTCACTTCTCGTGTAGCTGGGGGTCATCTGAAGAATCTCCACCCTACCTTATTTCCCCCTAAAGATGAACCACCCTTACGCTAACCTAACCTAACCTCAATATTTTCACAAGTTAATTTCCACAGTCTGAAAATAAAAGCTACTAACCGATGGAGCACAAACAGCACTAAGAGAGAGAGAGAGAGAGAGAGGCGTGTCCTGAGCTTGGCCACTTCACACACACACACACGATCACTTGGGTGTTGGTCAGTACAACAACACGGCCACACCAACACGGCCACACTAACACGGCCACACCAACAAGACTCCACGTTAACCCTGCAGCGTCCAGCCAGTAATGACCTGATGATTAGTGTGGCTGAAGGTATAGGTATTTGAGCAGGACCAGGGTGTGTGTGGGTGTGGGTATGTGGGTGTGTGGGGGTGCGTGTGTGGGTATGTGGGTGCGTGTGGGTGCATGGGTGTGTGTGTGTGGGTGTGCGTGGGTGTGGGGGGGGGGTGTCAAAATAGAAAGAAAATATGAAGGAATTTAGCGGTGTCGTGTACTAACCTGACCAAATCGTAAAAAGCGCCCCGATAGTTTTGATTAACTTGTATTCGCTCCACCACCTTCTCTGTGAACTAATAGTGAATCAGGGACAACAAAAACACACGTAATATTGATGTTTTTAGTCGATATTGTTTATATTTGTTATACTGACTGGATTATATAAGTGATATAATCTTAATACCTTCACTTAACTTGAGACAATATAATCCCCTGTATAATTTTTGTTTGTTTTCATCAGTAATAACTCATACAATTTATCTACACAAAATTTAGTCTTAGATATATCATTCTTGACCACATCCGACACTAGAAGAACTCACTATAACCGCAGAATTCCTTGCCAGTGATGGGGACGTTGTGTTACACCTTAACCAATGAAAACATAAGTGGGAAAGTTTGAACCGAGACCTGAACATTTAAGATACAGTCACAAATAATTGTTCCTTTACGTGCCCACGACTCAGAGCTGCCAGGGCGAGTCTCCGAACCAATTGAGCTTGGCTGTTGCCCTCTGGCTTCAAGACTCCGAACTAACAAAGCTCAGACATCCCTTTTCTGCCAATAGATGGAGTTTTTTCACTCAAGGAATAATTCGAAACTGACACACAAGCTTCAGATAGACACCTATTATTGGATTACACCCTCGAGGTTATAGGCCTGACACATAAACTCACAGTAAAATGCATCTTACTCGTACAAAAGGAGAGAACAAGACTGAAGGATTAACAAATAAGACCCAGGTAGCGTTTAAGATCTGCTCGTACTCTCCCAGTGTCTCCGTATACCTCAACCTGCCACCACGTAATCCACTTATAGTCTATACTTCTCAGTTAAAGGCAAATTAAAACACAAAAGCCTGTTTAGTGCTGAGAACATCGTGACTGGATATTTTGACATTCTTATCCAATAAAATAGGTACAACAAAACCCTACCTGAAGATACCTATTGCTTCCTATGCTTTGAGTCTATAAATAATACGATGATTAAAGATAACTTTATCATAGGTTATTGTTTTCATTTTTTAGCATATGAGTTAAAGCGTAAGAATGACTGGTCATCACTGTGAGGAATAAAGATCTCTATTAGATTCTACCTATTTATCTCAATCCAATATGCAGTAACTTGTGTTTAAAGTAGCATAATCGTAAAGAATGGAGGCACACTTACCGCCTAGGTCGCGCCAGAGATCCAGCGGTGAACCGATGGTCGACCCAGTATTTTAAAAGGAAAAAAATACAATTAAAATGAGAAACCTTTACTTCAAGGCATTTGTACAATTACTTAATTATACTAGTTAGAATAATGTAAAACAATAAATTATAATAAAATATCATAGTTTCACGAGATAACTCACTTAGCATATTATCTCCTCCTGAGTAAACGTCTTCAAGAGCCACATTATCTACCGTAAAAGTGTAATCTGGTTTTTACCTTCTTGAGTGGTTGAAGAAACTCGTATCATGGAGGCTCCTGCAGGTGGTAACTCCCGGATGCTTCACCATCTGGATTTATAGGCAATAAGGCAATAAATTTTTATCTTGTCACCAGTGTGGTTTGGCTTCCCGAGAGCCGTATATCAAAGCACACGGGAGAGCATATTCTTACCTGTCCGACCCGTCCTATCAGGTCTTTATAGCATGTATCCTTATTACACACCTGGTATAAACTCACTCATGTGCGACCAAGAGAGATAGAGAGAGAGAGAGAGAGCTATTCAGTCTCAATGAAACACTAATATTAAATAAATGAAGGATGACCCGCGTCTCGTTTTTCTGTTTCACTGGTAAAACTTACGGCAGCGCAGAAAGACTAAATTCAACTAACATTTTTTTTCGCCCAGTTTTTTTGTTGTTGTGAAGTATAGTTGCTTATAACATCTTATTTAGATCATGTTTGCTGTTGCTCCTCATTATAGTGAACGGCTGGACTTGTTCTCAATGGGGTGTAATGTTGGGTTGTATCGTAGCTAAATCAGGAGCTTAAACTGCTGAGCGAGGGTGACGGAGTGGGTCAAGACGAGGTGGTGTGTTGGTCGACGACAATGTGTGTGTGTGTGTGTGTGTGTGTACAATGGAATCTCAGCGATCAAGAAAAACGTTCACCACTGTTCCTCTCAATACAAACCATGTAATATTGTAAATAAAACGTTAAAGAAAAGATCAAAACGCAAAAGTACTAAAACATAAACCCAGTATTCACCATTAATTAACAAATACAGGTGTTCACAAGATATCAAATTAGGTGTTCAGGAGAGAGAGAGAGAGAGATGATGCATGATTCACGTGTTGCTGCCTGACAGTGACGGACGCACCTACCTGGGGGGGGGGGGGGTCACGTGCCATTCCCCCCTTCCCCTTTCCTCACCTGTTACTTGGAGTACATCTTCCTCCTATAGTTTCACCCTGCTACTTTCTTCACGTTGTTGCTACTCCATATATTAAAAAAATATGATTATATTTTTTCAAGAATTAAATATTAAGGTACTGAGGGGTGCTAATTAGCGCCCGAGTACCTACAGGTATTAATGGGTACCTAACTCTACAGGTGAGGAATTGAAGACGATCGAGTACAGTGTCGGCCATTTTGTCTATTTCTGAAGCAAAGGTTTAGCAGCAGTCGTGAATTATATATCGTCAATCATCCCTTAAAGACGATGACTTTAGCCACGTTGAGTACATATCATCATTATATTTTGAGATTTATGATATTATACTGAAGGAACTATACCTGCACAAAAATATCAATTATCAAATATAAAAAAAAATAATGTAAACCGAACATCATGTTTATATAAAAATAATCCATCTAGACCATAATAGTAATAAGATATATAATAAATGAAATAATTACATATCCATCTATAGTAAATGTCAAGGTGGAAGTGTTGTTATTAAATTAGCAAATACAATAATTAAATTACAGCCGTGACGAAACGAAATTACATAGCAAACTGATGTAATTATTATACAGTGATGAAGGGGAAATGAAATGATTGAAATATATGTTCACATCTGGTCCAGTGACTTGTAATTTTTGTCCTTTAAATAGAAACTTAATTACATCTACAAAAGTTAATAGAGGGAAGTTACTTAGGATTAAGGTATTTTAGAATGAGTTAAGTAAGTATAAATTCGTCTTGGATTAAATAAGTGTGTATAAAGGTTAGTGACAATTGTAATGCTGGAATTTATTTTTCCTCAATATAATATCTCATTAAAGGGGGGAAAAAGTGACTGAGGCAAAGATGGTATGACTTGTTCTCTTACCAGCCAGCAAGACGCAAAGAAAACGGCTTGTCATCTAAACACAGGGAGAGAAGAGAAAAGACGAGGAGAGAGAAGCAGGAGCAATCACATACGCAGAACAAAGAATTAACTGAGAAATTCATAATCAAAATAAACCATCCAAAATAATAGTGATTAACCATTTATTACTTTAAAATTAACCCAAAATAGGTAGAAATAGGGTAATTGGGTTGTATTTTAGTATCACAAGAAATAGGAAGAATAAATAATTAATTTCGCAATATATTTGGTGATTAAAGAACCCACATAGGCTTTCGTTCGCACCGGGTTATTTTATGAAGCAAACAAACAGATGAAACTGACAAATTGATATAGGAAGGAATGTACATAGAGAGTGATAGGAAATAACAAAGGAAAATAGAGAAAGACAAATGGATATACAAAGGAAATAAGAGAGAGAGGAAGAGGTTGAAGGCAGATTGGTTTAAGACACAAGGAACAAGAAACTCTACGGGAGACACACGCCACCTTGTGATACACCAGACTGGGAAACCTAACCTAACCTGACCAATTAGGACTGGAACCCATTAATATTGGGTGTCATTAAGATTATGGCCTATTAAAACTGGGGCCTATTGTGAAAAGGGCCCATTAGTAAGAGAATAGGTTGGAGTCTATTAAATTAAGCTTGGTGTCTATTAGGAAGTGGTGGTCATTAGGATTAGGTCTTATTAGGAGTGGTAATTATTATAACTATGGACTGTTTAGGTTAAGGTAGTTTTAGTAGTATCTGAGAACGGAAGACTGTTTTCCTTGGTTCAGTTATAAGTGATGACTTTCTGAGACTCATAAGTTCTGGTGTTTTAGCATCTTAAAGGGACTTTGGGGGGGGGGGGTTCCTTAAGGTTTTTCAGTCCGTCCTCAACCATACTCACCATTCCATCCACACATTCTACCCAACACATCATCCACACATCACACACACATACACACACACACACTCCAAACAATCTGCTCGCCAAAAACTCTCTCCCACAGCACACACACACACACACACACACACACACACACACACACACACACACAAAGATAAAAAAACAAAATATACCAACAAAAAACACACTACAATGAGCCTTTTAGTTAACAGCGACAGACGAAATGTTTAGGAAGGTTTCTTGTTTATATTACTGTACCTTAAGAGCAGAGTGGAGTTACGTGGCAGCGCTAATTAGGCTAAGGTGGCATATTACATATTGTATCACATCCTAACACCCCCGCATTTGCATCTAAGTTGGAGATTCAAGTCTTTAAATGTTGAGGCAAATATGTTGAACAGACTTTAATGTTTAAGTGAGTTTAGTGGATTTTGTTTCCTTAATATACAAAGAGAATTATTTTTTCGGTAAAGAAATTTGATGAAAGGAATTTAAACGATGTTATATATTTAATGAGCTAGGAGAGAATTTTTTTTTTTTATAGTTTGGGAGGGATTCATTTTATCTTTTTTAGAACTGTATTAAATAGCACATACTGTACATATATACACCTTCACGCACACACACACATACAGGCACACATGTTCACTAACCAACCACTCATTAGTACACACACACACATGTAGTCACTAACACATTCTCTTTCTCCCCGCTACATACACATACACACATGCAACCACGTACACGCTCTCTCTCTCTCTCTCTCTCTCTCTCTCTCTCTTACACACCCACATGCGTACATAGTTCCTGCCAGTCTCAGTGTGCGTTAAACATTCACTATCTGGTGTACTCAGTCTAACATTAGCACTACAATAGTTCCCAGTTATATATAAACCAGCTGACACACACACACACACACACACACACACACACACACACACACACACACACACACACACAGGCATTAGTTAAGCTTAATTGTTTTCCATATATGGCCTCTCTTTCTCTCTCTCTCTCTCTCTCTCTCTCTCTCTCTCTCTTTCTCTCTTTAATTCTCCCTTGTTATTTTTCCTCCTTTTCTTGGTCATTATTTGTCCATTCTCTCTTTTTTATATCTTTCTTTTTCTCTCTTATCACGTTCCGTTTTTTTCTCTCCGTATCTTTATTTCACACACGCTCTTTCTTCTTTGTTTTCTCTTTTTCACTTTCTCACTTTCTCTTTTCTCTATCTGTACGCTCTTTCTCTCTCTCCCCTTTCTTTCTTTCTGTCTGTCTATTTATTTTTATCTTTACTTTCTCTTTCTCTTTTCTCAATATCTCCTCTCTGTGTCTTACCCTTTTCCTTCATCTGTACTTTCTACTTCTTAGTCTTTCTCACTCATCGTTATTTTCTTTCTCACTCTGTTTATCTCTCATTTGATCTTACCTCCTCTTTCTTACTTTTTTTATCTCTCATTTGATCTTTCCTCCTCTTTCTTACTTTTTTTATCTCTCATTTGATCTTTCCTCCTCTTTCTTACTTTTTTTATCTCTCATTTGATCTTTCCTCCTCTATCTCACTCTTTTTATCTCTCATTTGATCTTTCCTCCTCTTTCTTACTTTTTTTATCTCTCATTTGATCTTTCCTCCTCTATCTCACTCTTTTTATCTCTCATTTGTCCCTCCTCATCTCACCCCACACACAGTAAGAAGTTTTTGTTCCACTTATAGTTCGATTTTTTTTTGATACACAGAAAATGTTCCATGAGTCAGCAAAATACATCCCCCGTTGCTATTGTTGCTTGAACCACAAAAACAAAAAACAAAAGAGATTATATTCTATTTTACCAGTTTATTATGGAGACTATGGTCGTATATGGAAAGCGATTATGTTGCTGTCATTTACATAATCCATTTACCGTGTGTGTGTGTGTGTGTGTGTGTGTGTGTGTGTGTGTGTGTGTGATTATATGCACACTTTAAGGTATGAACAGTGACAGGGGAATTTTTATTTACTATTATTTTTTTAGCTACATTTGTCAGCTCGATCTCCGGCCTTCCTGATCTATCTGATATTGATTTCTAGTCATGAGGGATATTTTTAATGTATATAATTGTATGTAGACTTTAAGGAACGAACAATGAAATGTAGAATTTATTTTTATTTTTATTTTTTTGAGGTGGATCTCCGGGTTTCCTGACCTGACTGATCTGATATTAACTGATGTGGGAGGGATATTTTTTCTTACGACAATTGAACACAGGTAATGACTCGTTGTTTGTCGTCCTTAATATTGTCACACACACACACATATGTCTACGAAAATTAATTATCTTATATTGTATTAATTTAATCCACCTTTCTCTAAGCTCTAAGATAAGAGGTGGTTAGGTTAGGTTAGATGAAGTTAGATTAGGTTAGGTTAGGCCTGAATTACTTACATATCTACAAGCACCACTTTAACATAGCTATGACTAAAACGAAAAGAATGAATCAAACTTTATCATCTTTTGAAGCCTCACGTCACACAAACTCACAATAAACATAGCTAGTAAAACGTCCACCATTGACCCAGTTCTATACATAACGTAAATCTTGACAAATGTTCTTGTTTTTAATTAACCTCTGATGGTCCACTCAGAGGTTCGAGACATAGGTAACGTCGATGTTGACATGTTTAACTAGCCAGAAAGTTACATATAAAAATAGTCCAGCAAAATAAAGTAAGCATATGGCTAAGCTTCTTAAGAACTGGAACCTGTTTTGTAAAATTACTTGGGAAAAAAAATATGAATTGTAAGCTTAAATAGCGTAAACAGTTTGAATTTCCAGTAAGCGTTTACCATGGGCTATATTGTATGTATTTTATTGGCATAATTACAGGAAAAGTTTAAGAGGTTTTGTGATTCGAGACACAACCTACCTTCCATAACCAGAAGAAACATATTGTGAGGAACGATACATCATGTGAGGGGCCGCCACCTCCTGCTGCTATTCACCTCCGCGTCGGTGACAAACCTGTTCTGTCAGCAGTAATTGAAATTCGTGGACCCGCTGTGCATTTTTGATGATCCGGAGTGTACGCGAGTCTTATTATATCTGTTTGACATGAATGGCTGGCCTAATATAGCTTCTATATTGATAACTCTACTATATTATTGTGTTCGAAGAGCATTGTTATCTGTTTTTGTTATAATTATGAGGTTATCATCACTATTATGGTACAGAGTGAATCCTATATATAAATTGAGTACCTTTGTGGAAGATTATACAAGAAAAAAATTGCACAGACTAATATGTTTTAAATACGATGAAATATAATAGATATAATATATATAATTATATATTGTCTAACGTGTTACTTATCTTTCATGTCTCTAGGTTTTTGTTCATATTGTAGTGATGACATGTTCACTATACACTCGCAGATAAGCGAGTGTAACACGTAGCGACACTCCATCACTCGCCAACTCGCTGGTCATGTTCTCAACGCTGCTGTATCACTCGCGGGCCTAAACCTTGACCGCGTTTACTAACTTTTTTTTTCTTCTTCCTTCTTTCTCTCATGTTTCCTCCTTCCCAGTTTCTTCACTCGTCTACCTTCACCATTACTTCTCTTTCTCCATCTTCACTACCTCTCCATGTTTCTCCTCCTTCATCACTAATCATCTCTCTCTTCCTCCTCCTCCTCCTCCTACTTCTATCTCCACCGATTCTTTAGGTCTTCTCGTGGACAGGGCTTAGACAGGCAGTACCCAGCCACAATCAGTGATGCTGACGGAGAAGGCAGGCCTACGACACGCTTCCTCCACCACGCTGAGGCCCTGACACACCCTGCCGAAGGGGAAGACAGTCTTGGTGCGTGGCCCGTCCTTCACGCTGATGCAGAACTGAGCTGCTGTCTCTACTCTGGAGCTGGCGCGTACCACCTACAGGAGGAAGTCGATAGTGAACCAGCTCTATCTATCTATCTATCTATCTATCTATCTATCTATCAAATCTATCTATCTAATCTATCTATGTTTAATAATAATAATAATAATAATAATAATAACAATAATAATAATAATGATAATAATAATAATAATAATAATAATAAAAAGAAGAAGAAGAAGAAGAAGAAGAAGAAGAAGAAGAAGAAGAAGAAGAAGAAGAAGAAGAAGAAGAAGAAGAAGAAGAAGAAGAAGAAGAAGAAGAAGAAGAAGAAGAAGAAGAAGAGAGAAATTAAAGGATAAGAGTCATAACAAGAATGAAAATAATGTAGAAGTGTAATAAAAAAAAGGTTTAATATCACAGAAACTCAACTAATTCATCACAGCTTTACAAAAATTACAAACTGTGTGGACGAGATGAGAGAGATTACAGGAATTACTTGCTTCTTCGGTGCCAGCTTACCAACATTCTACCCCACACAACCAACATTCTACCCGACAACCAACATTCTACCCGACAACCAACATTTTACCCGACAACTAACATTCTACCCGACAACTAACATTCTACCCCACACAACCAACATTCTACCCGACACACCTAATAGAGACACAGACAAAACATTATTCATTAGATTTCAAGCGAATTACAAGTTCCAGACTAAAAAGTTATCCCATTTATTGCCTCTGACGTAAAAATAAACCAAGATAATTGTGGAATAACTATTTGTCTCTCATAATTGGCCAACGAGTTATTACCGGCGGTGGTAAATTACCCCACAAATTAGGTGAGTTATTCAGGCCTTAAAAAGTTAAGGTTACCACGTAAACTGTAACTAGGAAGTATGTTAAGGCTATTTTGTGATTCTTTGTGGTGGAAGTTAATGACGAGGCATCAAATTGACGGTATTTTTATATTGTTTTGTTGTGCAGTTGTGGATATAAAGGAGACTCTTTAGATTGTCTTGTTTGTCTGTTTGATATAGGAGTGATATCTGATTTTTTTTCTCTCTTCTCTCTCTCAAGGGGCTTGGTGGAGGGGGTTTGGGGGGTGGGGGAGGCGGGGTGAGGGAGTGTAAGGGAGAGAATATTCAATCAATGTGTACAGTATTTCTCATGAAAGAAGTTTAGACAAGAATTAAACATCTTTTAATCTATTTATGACAGACTTATAACCCAGTGAAAGTAATTTATTTTGATCACTTTCTTTTTTTTTTACTTTCTGCATCATGATTAATTGTATTTGTGTGAAGGTGATTTCTTGGGGAAAGTCTAGAAGGGGGTAACTTATTCGCTGGCGTGTTATCTCAAGTCTCCTGTTTCTTATTTAATTAAAAAGTCGTAGTATTGAATGTGATCATGTGAGGCTGTGAGATTAATACTGGTATAACAACATAATTAATTTAGAGTTTATTGGTTCATTTATGATGTTATTGATGAACAAGAACCTCATTAGTTGACTCGCGTGTTGATTAATATAGAACTTAACTTAGAGACGTAACATTTAGGCAACAAAAGAATGAACGAATGTTTCTGGGTAGCGGTACAGCCTTTAAAGTAATGGTCGCTCAATGACTTTATCTAAATCCTGCGGGCAGTGATGACAGGGAAATAGGCATGATTTATTGTTTAATGGCTGCCGGTGAGGTATCTGTATATGTGTGTGTGTGTGTGTGTGTGTGTGTGTGTGTGCATCCTAAATCAATAACCACTTAACCTTAAACACTATGTATAATTATATCTATTTAACACAATAAATATGTAATAATCTGTGTTTAAACCAAATGAAATTAGATTTAACAGAATGCTTATCAAGTCTCAGCACAAGAGTACACCTCACATGGACCTGACCTGGTGGTGGAGGGCAGGCAGTATACCACAGACCAAACACTCAAAACCACAAGACAGACCAAACACTCAAAACCACAAGACAGACCAAACACTCAAGACCACAAGACAGACCAAACACTCAAAACCACAAGACAGACCAAACACTCAAAACCACAAGACAGACCAAACACTCAAGATCACAAGACAGATCAAACACTCAAGATCACAAGACAGACCAAACACTCAAGATCACAAGACAGACCAAACACTCAAAACCACAAGACAGACCAAACACTCAAGATCACAAGACAGACCAAACACTCAAGATCACAAGACAGACCAAACACTCAAAACCACAAGACAGACCAAACACTCAAGATCACAAGACAGGACCAAACATCAAGATCATCACAGATAGACCAAACACTCAAGATCACAAGACAGACCAAACACTCAAGACCACAAGACAGACCAAACACTCAAGATCACAAGACAGACCAAACACTCAAGATCACAAGACAGACCAAACACTCAAAACCACAAGACAGACCAAACACTCATGATCACAAGACAGACCAAACACTCAAGATCACAAGACAGACCAAACACCCAAAACCACATGACAGACCAAACACTCAAAACCACAAGACAGACCAAACACCCAAAACCACAAGACAGACCAAACACTCAAGACCACAAGACAGACCAAACACTCAAGATCACATGACAGACCAAACACTCAAAACCACAAGACAGACCAAACACTCAAGATCACAAGACAGACCAAACACTCCAAGATCACAAGACAGACCAAACACTCCAAAGATCACAAGACCAGACCAAACACCCAAAACCACATGACCAGACCAAACCTCAAAACCTAAGACAGACCAAACACCCAAAACCACAAGACAGACTGACACACCCAAAACCACCAAGACCAGACCAAACACCCAAAACCACAAGACAGACCAAACACTCAAAACCACAAGACAGACCAAACACTCCAAGATCACAAAGACAGACCAAACACTCAAAACCACAAGACAGACTAAACACTCAAAACCAAGACCAAGACCAAACACCCAAAACCACATGACAGACCAAACACTCAAAACCACAAGACAGACCAAACACTCAAGATCACAAGACAGACCAAACACTCAAGATCACATGACAGACCAAACACTCAAAACCACAAGACAGACCAAACACTCAAGATCACAAGACAGACCAAACACTCAAGATCACATGACAGACCAAACACTCAAAACCACAAGACAGACCAAACACTCAAAACCACAAGACAGACCAAACACTCAAGATCACAAAACAGACCAAACACTCAAAACCACAAGACAGACCAAACACTCAAGATCACAAGACAGACCAAACACTCAAGATCACAAGACAGACCAAACACTCAAGACCACAAGACAGACCAAACACTCAAAACCACAAGACAGACCAAACACTCAAGATCACAAGACAGACCAAACACTCAAGAACACAAGACAGACCAAACACTCAAGATCACAAGACAGACCAAAAACTCAAAACCACAAGACAGACCAAACACTCAAAACCACATGACAGACCAAACACTCAAGATCACAAGACACACTATCTTCCCCAGCTGACTTACCATCCCCTTTTCACAGCGCTTGGCCACCTCCTTGTTCCGCCCAATACCCCTCATGATGGCAGCGCCGCCTTTGCCTGCCTTGCTCTCGTAGTCTCCACCAGCTAGACCCTCTCCGGAGTCCCCACGACGGAGCACCGAGTGGAAGAATGACCCAAGGTAGGATGGTCCCCGGTCACCCAGACACAGCGAGAAGAATTGTTGAGCCCGAGGCAGCTGAATCTGGAGGAGTGAGGAGGGTGTGAGAGACAGACAGACAGACAGACAGACAGACAGAGAATAATTATAAACAATACTATGGGTCTGAAAGATGGATGGTAATGTTATAGGAAAAAGAAGCGAAAGAGAAAAAAATATGCTTATAAGTTCACTGAGTCTGAAGGTGGAATGGGGTGTGTTGAGAGAGAGAGAGAGAGAGAGAGAGTAATATACACATAAGTGCACTATTAACTTATAAATCAACTACAAGTAATAAGTAAGACAATGAGGATGTAAAGTGCCAAGATACTCTCAAGAAAGTATTACTGCAGGAGGAGGAGGAGGCAGCCTGAGGCCCTCATAATTCTCCTCAAGACACTCACTTCTTGCACTAACTTGCCACCATAAAAGGTCTTAATGAACTCCATTATTTCATTATTTTTACCTGTTGATAATTAACAAAAAATATTTACCAGGTTTAAGGTAATCCTATTCCTCATCAGAGTAAATAATAACTACGTATTTTTAAAACTGTAATTTAATCTATTTTATAAGAATTTTACTGTAATTTAAGTCAATGTTATTCGTGTATATATATAATTAAAGTTTATGTTTCAGTAAGGAATAATATATCGCTGTAATGTATCTATTTGTT